AATTTCTCTTTCTGTACTTATTATTTTTTTTTTCTCTCTCCGATGTTTTTCTTATTTCCTCATTTTTCTCATCTCTTTTCCTCTTGCTATTTCTCAAGTCTCGTCTTTACCTTCAACGAAACGCAGTAGGTGAAAAGTTTTGCCAAAGGAAGAATAGAGAGAGACGAAAGAAAAAAAAAAAGGGAGAAGTAGAAAAAAAAAAAAGAAGAAAAAGTTTGTCCACTTTTTAATTTCGCCGCTTGATATCGATCGAGTCATTTCAAGACGCAGCAGTTTTTAATCCCTCACCGTAGTCTCTACTTTTATTTATCCTGAGTGCTAAGAAGTAGTAGAAGAAGCAGAAGAAGCCATAAGAGGGAAAGTAAGAGGACAAAAATAAGGGTGGGAAATAATAAGAATGGAAGGAGATGAAGAAGAAAAATAAGAAGAAGTGGCGTGGTAAGCTTATGGATATAAAGACATGACAGTTTATGGTTGTATATATAAATCTACATAATGTACGCATGCAAATGTATACAGATATACAGGATGTCACAGATTTTAATGTTCAAACTTTGTCAGTATATTCTTATAGTACCAAATAATAGAAAAATGTTATGTAAAAAGTTTATTACAGGTTACATACAAGTTTTTAATTTAAAAAGTATTTTTTTCTTTTCATGATAGACGTTGCACCTTATGTAATATAATATTTTCAAATTGTAGATTTTACATTTTAAAATTGTATTAATTTTCAAATATCCTTGATGAAATCAATTAAAATTTAGTTTTATTTTTAGAAAGGTATTATATAAATTTTTATATAAATTGATCAAATTTCTTTTTACTAAATTTTTTCGAATTCGACGAATATTTGAATTACTTATTTCGGAATCGACGAATCCTAAAAAAGTGAATCTTCAGAAACTCTATTCTAGTACCATAGAAAAATATACTGACAAAGTTCTTTAACATTAATACCTAGGACATCCTGTATAAAAAGAAAGACGCATAACTCAGCGGAATATTTGGGGAAAAAGATCTTTTGTTCGTGAAACAGAGACACAGAGATAAAAATAATAATGAAAGAACGAAACAGTTCTCAACAGTTTTCCATTTTACTGGCGAACGAGGCTGTTTTCTCGTAACCATTGAGAAATAAGAAGAGACACAGTCAAAGACAGAGAAAAAGAATGAGAATGGGAGGAAATGGATAGATAGATAAAAAGAAAAAAAAAAAGCTGAAAAAAGGAAAAGGAAACGTAGAATCGGCTTGACCAGCACAAAGCTTTGAACAAACGAATGACAAGGCAAGGGTAGCTTGCGAATTGGCGAACTGCTAACATCGAAGTAACGTAAGCTTAGGAGAAACGAGACCTTGGTATCCCAAAGCAAACTGAACACTCAGCGAAACGAGCGTGCCAACGTAATCTCCCCAGATTTTCCAACGGAAAAGGAATCCTCGGTTTTCGATACGTTCTCTACGATCAACTTCACCGACGAATCCCTTCTCTCGTTTCTACCTGCCGAATAGAACTTTCTATGCTTTTGAAGATAGAAACACAAAGGGGGAGGGGGAGATTGAACGAAAGAGAGGATGGGGAATCACAATACTACAAGAAACTTACAATGTGGCTTAAGTTGGAGAAAGCAGCCCAAAATTTTTGCATTTATTATTTTTTTCTTTTGTAATTTTTTATCAAAATTATATCCAATTTAAATGATATTAGAAGTATACCGGCAGAAAATTTACGTATATTGAATTTTTCGATAAACATCTCTCTGAAAAGTTTGAAAAAATATCGAAAGAAAATTGTCACACACACATTTTTTAAAGCACATTGAATATAAATATTAATATTCTTTATATAATATAATGTAAGTTGTTTATTTTTTCCTGGGAAGCCTAAAATTGGCTTTTCTTTTCATTTCTATGATATGTCCAAATTAAATTTCGCATATCAACGAAACTATAATCCAGTTGACTGAGTGGGAACGAAAGAGAGGGGAAATAAAATAGTAATAGTAAAAATACATAGAGGAAGGATTTTTAATTGTTCATTGGGGAAGATATTAAAATTATAATTAAAATTAATCCCCTACTTTACTTTTTTTACTAACTACAATTCGAATCGTTTATTTGTGTTGGTTATAAGACAAGGTAAAAAATGATCAATGATCCCATTTCTGTGTGTCGTAACAAAATCGCCTAATTGTTCAAATCGATTGATAAACAACAGGACACAATAAACAAATATGTTTCAAATTCATGAACTTTGCGATGCGTTGCGATTCGTTGCATCGTCATGCATGGATGCAATCCGACAGAACAAAATATTATTACTGGCACATTGCCTAATGTTTCACCACGTTGCTTTTATTTTACAGAGGGTTGAATTACGCCACGTGATCAACTTTAATTACTCTGATGCTAATGAGCCGATTGTACATTTCTATGCTCTTTATTAAGTGCTTCGAAAAAGATCTTTCAAATGATTATAGCTTCTTTTTTTTTCTTTTCTGCCGACCGTAATTTTTTTTCTTCTCTCGAAATTTTCAATGTCACCCGTTAATTTATGTTTGTTCGATAAACCGATGATTTTTGCATTTGTTTTTTTTTAATGGATATTAAAACAAATACAGCAAATAATATATGAATTAAATTGAATTTTGAATGATCTTATAACCGATAAAATGATCGCATACAGGGTTGTTTTACATTTTATAAAATATTCGATAATTTATTATTACTCATTGTAAATATACGAACATTTCTTTAATAATTTCATAATTGTGCAAAATTTTATGTAATATGAAATAGAAAGAAAGACGATCTAATTGAATTATAAATTCATAACAAAAAAAAAACAAATATTATAATATATAGACAAATTTCGACGATCTTTATTATTCCAAAAGAACAACGAAAAGAAGAAGATAAAAGAAAAATAAGAAAAAATAGAAAGAGAAAGGAAAAGATCAATTGGCGTAAAAAATCGGCTGACGATGAAACTTGTTCACAATATGTCGCCTAAAATCCGAGCCAAACATGGCCGCTTGCGAGCGGAAGAAATGATTTATTCGCGATGCTTTAAAAGCTTTTCGATAATCCCACCGCGGTCGTAGTTTCCTCGACTATATGCAGTTGGTTTCGAAAAAGATGAGAGAAATAGAGAGATAGACAAGCAGATAAAAAAACAGAGAGAGAGAGAGAGAGAGAGAGAGAGAAAGAGACAGACAGACAGACAGACAGACAGACAGAGGGAGAGAATATGAAAGAACGAAAAAGGAAGCAAGCAAGTAAGCAAGAAAAAAAGAAAGATAGAAAGAAATGCAGACGGACGGACGGACAGACAGACAGACAGAGTAGAAAAAGAAAAAGAGAGAGAGAGAGAGAGAGAGAGTGAGAGGAAATAAAATAGGCCACGATACTCCATTAACCTGATTGCTGTGACAAAAGTAGCGACCTTTCCAAGCTCGCTTGCAGCTCAGCACAGCACAGCATACTACTACTACTACTACTACTACTACTACTACTACCAACTACTATAGCAAGTATACTACGAAACTGGTAAATGTGGACATGCCCTAAATTCCAAAACTCGTGTTTAGACAGCTTCTCAGCACGCTAATTGCTGACTATTAAATGAAATTCGTGCACTCGCAAGTAAGCCGGTTTAACGAGCTGCACGATTCGACGCTTACGATTTTCTTGCTCGAATGCCTCCACCTCCTTCCTCCTCCTCCTCTACCTCTACCTCTCGATCGTTAATCGTTCTACGTTACAGTGCTATCTCTTTCACCTACGTTTTGTACAACTTTTCAAAAAATTAAAAAAAAAGAATAATGATAAAACAAAAAAAAAACAAAGGATACAAAGAAGATGAAGAAAAGGTTAAGGGAGGAGAATGAGGGGAGAATACAAATAGAAAAAAAAGGAAAGAAAAGAAAAAACAGATAGAAAGATAAAGAGAGAAAGGATGGGAGGGTGGGAGGGAGGGAGGGAGGGAGGAAGATAGATAAATAGATCGAAGCTAAACTAAAGCAGGTCACGCGATATGAGGAATCTCGAATGCTAAACTATAATCCCCAGAGGCGGATAGTTAGCCTCTGAAAGCCATAAATAACATTTATCCACCGATTAAGGGGGGAGAGGCTCTTCCATTCTAATTCGTGAGCTTTATTATAAAGGCTCCTGATTACGGCTATGAGCGTACATTACGTTCCCCCTTTCCTCTCTCTCTTTCTCTCTTATGCTTCTACCGTTACTCCCCCCTACCCCCTTCTTCCCCCTTCTCCGTACTATACTTCTTTCTTAATCCTCGATTACACGCTCAAGCCCTCGGCATATGCAAGAGCTTTCTTTCGTTTTACAATATCATATATTCTATCCGAAATTGATTTTCCACGTGTATGTCTACGTGTACGCTTGATTTTATGTATGTGTGCATGGGGTATATGAGTGAATTTTATTTTATTCCTTCATACAATTTTCCTTGAAATTCACCATTACTTGTCGAGATTAACGTAGTATAATAAAACAAATTTGATTGTGCCAAGGATGCAAATGTACCAAGTGTGTATGCGTGTGTGTGAGTGTGTGTATGTGTACACCATTTGAAAATACTATTCAATTTGGAATAGATTCGATGACTAATCCTGAATGTATTGACTTTTTGTTAGAGATTTATTAATCTGTTCAATATATTATAACTACAAACGGAATCAGTATTATTTCAGTATCAGAAATACACGCGTATATCTTTCCTAATATTTATTTTATCGAAAATGTTTTTGATCTACTATTTCATTGGATATCTAAATAAAATATCCTGAATTTTCAGATTTGTTTTTTCAATCAATCTTAACTAATTAAAATTGTTAAAATTGTTTATTTTATAAACTTCTCTAAACTGTTTAACCTGTTGACCAGGTGTCAGAGTATTAAATTCCAAAATTCGTGGGAAAAAGAAAAAGAAAAAGAAAAAACAAAATTGATAAATAAAATAATAAGAACTTACCAAGAGGAATGAGTGGATTGTGCCGGTATAGATGGCAGCGCACCAGGTGGTAGAGATCTTCTTATGGGTTGACAACATGGCCTTTGTCCGTTAGCATTTGTAGCTTCGTTACAACAAGATGGTGGATTGGCGCAAACGTGTCTCGCTACGATGCCAGCAGAATTAGTCGTAAATTCAACCGCAGACGTGCGTAACTTTGGCCTAAGCAACGGTGACGTCGAGAAGCTCTCTCCTCCCCCACCTCCCCCTCCTCCCCCACCTCCAGCTCCACCGACTACGCCAGCTCCTCCAGCATTTCCTCCTCCGCCACTTCCAGCACCTCCTCCTCCGCCACCAGCACCTCTTTGATTCGACGTTGCTGAGCTGCTCGAGCTACTGGAACCTGGACTTCCACCTAGACGAGCCGGTGACGCGTAGGCGAAACCGCGGAACCGGAAGTGCGCCTGGTGGTACGGATATCCGGCTGGTGGTGGTAGCCGGTAATGATGATGGAAGCCCAGGTCTCTCCTCATGTACGGATCACCGGGGTCGTTGGTGGGCACGTAACGATCCGTTGGGGTATGGGCAACCGGTGGTACGTACCTGTCCACGTACCTGTCCGGATAGAGCACCTCCGGAGGTGGTTGCGGCACATACCTGATTAAATATTAATTCCAACTTTAATAATTTACACTTACAAAAATGGATATATGTAGATAATAATAGGAAGGAAATGTTTCTTAGTCGGGGGGTTGAATATTTTTTTGTCAAGACTTTGTTTTGAATGTATAAACGTGTTTATAACGTAAGGTTTCTTTTTTTCATGATTGAGATTGAGATAATTGAATTGGTGTTATCGCGAAAAGAATGTATATTTGATAAATGTGACTTATCATAAAAATAGTGATTAGCCTTTTAGATGTTCTTGCCGAAGGATAAAAGTAAGATTTATTGATAAGAGACTTACCGTTCGACCGGAGTGTGAGCCGTCGGCGGGACGTAAGTGCCGGTACTCGACGATCCGTAGGGCCTATCGGTCGACGTAGGAACGACGGAAGAAGTGGCGCAGCTAGAGATCGGCGCTATCCTACCGGTAAATCTATCTTTTGGTTTCGGTAAAGACAGGTACTTGTCCGGGACGCTACGTGCCGGAGAGTATCGATCAGAAGGAGGGTGAAAGCGGTCAGGAGTGGTAGTAGACGATGAGAATCGATCGTTTGAGCTCCCTGACGCCGGAAACCTGTCGTATCGGTCTTGAACCGGTCTGTCAAACTGATGCTCGTTCCCGAGCGAATATCTGTCGGTGGCATAGCTTTGGACCGACTTCGACACTTGGAGGAACTTATCTCCTCCGTTCTTCGACGAGCTCTGATAGGTTCCATTTGGTCCAGCATTTGCAACGGTTCCTCGGAGTACCGAACCTGACGTTTCTGGGGTCGGTGAAATCGAGGAGAAGCGATCGTTAACCGTCGCCGCCGATGACGATTGGATGCCATTGGCATTCGTGTACGGCGAATGATAGCGCGTTCCAGTTTCCGAAGACGACGACGGTGAAGACGACGTCGCGGCCAGGATACGTTCGGTTGCGTTCGCATCTGAGACGACGTACCTGGAAGACGACGACGTTTCTGCAACGTTCGACGATCTAACCTCGTGTCCTGGGGACGATGCCGCGAGATAAGCGACCCCACCAACGGAGTATCTTTCGTTGCCGCGTGCCTGACCGCAGGATCTTTGGATAACGAGCTCGTTGAATCTGACATCATGAAAATTCGAGTATCTACCGTATTCCGCGTTACCGTTGCCGCCACTGCCGCCGCCGCCTTGTCCTTGTCCTTGTCCTCCCTGATTCGACCCATTAGATCTTTCGGAATATTTTTGACAAACGACCTCGACCGCTCTGTCGGCATAGAGTCGTCTATTTTGATCGTTCGCATTTGGTACCTGAAGAGATCTCTCCGTCGTGGAATATCTTTGATGCGTCCCTTCGTTATTCGACGTGGGTAACGGGAAAAACCTTTCGCTACTCGTTGCGATCGATGAGTAACGATCGTGGTGCAAACTCGATGATGTCTCTTGTTGGGAACGGTGATACCGTTCATGAATCGGTGACTCGCCGTGTCCGTATCTGTCGGACGATTTACCGGCGAATCTTTCGGGTACGGGCGCGTGAATCGGCGATGCCGAGAGTAATCTCTCGGTCGAGATCGTGGTATATCTCGAGGCTGGTGAATCTTTACCTGACCCGACGTAACTTCCAAGGATATTCCGGTCGATTTGTAAATTGGTCTGAAGGGCTCCCAACACTGGCGACGATCCCGACAAGAGACGATCCCCCCCATTGTTTCCAGTGTATCGTTGCTGTTGTTGATCCTTGACATCGTGCATGCTTGTCGCGTTGCAACTCGACTGTTGTTGATTGGCCAACAATCGTTCACCCGAAACGAATCGGTCCTTCGTTGGCATAGGCGAGGCTGGTGCTGTTCCACCGCCATATCTGGCGCCCGGAGAACCGGGGGGCAAAATCCTATCAGCAGGAGGATAACCAGCCAGGCTCTGGGACGAGGCATACTTCTCGCTTGGGCTGGGCGAGAGGGGCGGGGGCGGCACGAACCGATCGTTGGCTGGTGCCGGTGAGGGTGGCGACGGAAAGGTCTCCGACGAGAAGGAGCTTGACGTGCACGAAGATACGAGGACGTTTGCGTTCGCGTACTCGTTGTTCGTTGATGCGAGTCCGGGATCGTTGCTGACGTGATGGAAACGCAATTCACCCCCGTTAGCGACCTATCGATGCAATATCCAATAAACTTTTAAGTATATTCTCAAATAATTAACTATACACAAAAATAAAACAAATCATATTTTTTCTAAAGAAAAAATTAATATTCTCTTACTTTTTGCCGAAGTTTTTTCTTTTTATTTTTATTCTTTCAAAGTTAGAATAACTTTACGATATTAATCAAACGTATTTCATAATTAGTACCATATTTTTATCTGGTAATTATTAATTTTCTTTGATTAGCAACCTTATAAAATCAAATGTTTTATAGCACAAAACGTAATAATTATCTATAACTTAATAGTAAACTTACCTGAAACCGATCTCCTGACGGTATAGACAATCTTTGTTCGGCATGCAGGTTGCTGAGATCAGTGAATCGAGCGAATCGGTCGACAAGGATGTTCTGCGACAAGGATTGGCCCGAACTAGTTTGTCTTCCGGTGTATTGGTGATGAGCTTGCAATCCGGATTGACCGAATCTCTCTTGATTTTGGTAATGTCCGAATCGCTCGCAGCTCGACTGAACCGATCGAGTCTCGACATTGGATTTGCCATAATCCTCGATTGAGGACTTGTCCGTTGACTTGTCGTGCCGATCGATCGCCGTGACTCTTTCACGAGAGACACCATACTCGCTGTGATCGTTGCTCTGAACTTGCTGATCGGTTTGATAACGATCTTGGTTTGACGTGCCAGGGATTGTTGGCGTTGATCGCGAATCGGACTGCTGTTGTTGCTGCTGCTGCTGCTGTTGTTGTTGTTGCTGTTTATAGCAATCCGCTTGGTTACCGGCAACGATTTGTGTCCCGACACTCCCGGAGTTTCCACTATTGGGCCCTGGAATCGGGGATGACGAGGGCCCGTACTGGGCAATCGGGTGCTGGTGCAACAGGTGACGTTCTCTTCGGCCATAGTCGTCGTCTGTCGGCATCCTGGTGGCCCGGGGCCCACTGTCAGGACATCTAAAAAAGAGAAACAATCCTTTAGATTACATTCAATTTATCAATGTATTATTTTATATCTATTAACTCTTTGTATTTTATAGGCGCTTTTATTGCAACGTTCATAATATAAATCAACGTTTCAAATAAATTAGTTAATAATGCACGTAATGTTTATCAATAGTCAATTAAAACAATATTCTAGTGTCTCCTTAATTTAAAATTTAGTTTTTCACAAAAGAACAAAACTCGACTACTTTAAAACATATTTGGAGTGCAAAGGATTAAATTTACATTCGTAATAATAACTTGTAAACAAATCTTTGTTTCCTGTATTTCTTCATTTATTTAAAACCAAGAAGTTCATTTTTAATGGATATACAAAGTAGATTCATTTGGTCGACCGAATATATTCATTGTAGCCTAAATGGTCATTACATTACTCATTACCTACATGTATATTTCTACAGGTGTTATGTTATAACAGAGAAACATACATACGTCGCGTTTGGTAATTCGCTTTAATTTGCTATAATGTTTGTCCCATCCTAATTTGATCCTTATATTTGCATAAGATTAAAAGACTAATGACGATTAAGTAGCACGCGTTTTAATACCTTCTATATACAGGTTACAAAACTTAACTTGATTATTCGAGAAATTAAAGTCGATCGATGTTGTTGCATCCCTTTTGGTTAGAAACATTTAGTTATATGCATATACTTAGTTACTTTTAATTGTTATTCAAATCTATGATGTATAAAATGTTTGACTGGACGAATAGGCACAAATAAATAAATAAATGAATAAAAATGTTTAAGATTTTATTAACAATTTATATATCTCTCAGTTATCTTATTACAATATATTTCAATCGAGTAATCTAACCAAATATCGAATAACACGCGAGAATTAGTTGAATGGTGAAATAAATTAACCAAACGCATAGATAAATATTATATAATAGCAACGTTTATGATTATTGACAATTAACAATTTCCTCGGTTGGAGCCTGTAATAATTCAAAACGATTCGTCTAACATAATTTCTAATTACGTGGTCGAATAGGAAAAACAAATTGGATTAGATAAACGCACAGTCGAACGAATAAACAAACGGATAGATACGAATAAATAGATAATAATAAACGTAGAGGGATTTTAGTAACAATTTACACCTTCCCCCCCATCCACTCCATATCCCAATCCGGTTAACCTAGCCTCCCTCCCCCCTTGATCTATCATATTTCTAAACGGAGCTATCTAACAAAATGATAAACGAACGATCACGTCATAACGATAAAATGTTATACGCAATGGCCATTGGACAAGGTACGGATGGGTTGTTGTTACGTGACGTTAAAACGCGACTCGTATAATCGACTGCAAATTAATTGGAGCCCAACCCCCCTTCCTACCAAGCTCGTTCGCTCGCATTCGAGTTTCACTATTGCCGAACGTGTCCGAACGAATGACGCGTATGATCATACATAACCGCAGCTCGACTTCCATGCCGAATTACTGCGACATACGAACCCATTTTATCGATCGAATTCTCTCTATCATACTGGGCTTCTGTTTCCGTTCATCTTTTTATTTTTTTTTTTTTTTTCTCTTTCCAAATTGATACGAAAAAAATTACACGAGTGAGAGATTAATACGAGATGCCTGAGGGGTTTGCTTTTTTTTTTTTTTTTAACGTACAAACATTGTCAGCGTAATCTACAAACAAATATAATAAAAGCAAAATGTTTTTTTTTTTTAAACATTTATAAGCCATTTAAATATTTCAATTTGAATGTTATAACATTCATTGTAAAAACTGTCTCTATACGTAATATAAATTTGTTTTCCTTTTTTTTTTTTGAAGATACAAAATTATATTATTTTGCGCGGGGTAAGTGGATGGGCTGACCAAACGTGAGAATTTTTTATTGATCACGTAAATAAATATGAAAAACGTATTGGCGATAAAAAAAAAAGAAAAAAAGTATATCAAATTGCTAGAATCATAAAAAAAATACATTAAAAAATAATTATTTTGTATTATTTATTATTATTAAAGATACGGGAATTAGTATATTAGATATATTCTTCAATTTTAGATAAATGAGAATATCTCTTATCGAACACGGTTAAGGCATAAATTGGAAATAGTATCGTACCGCAGCGTGTGTGGTGTAATATCGTTGCTAGAATGAGAAAGTGAGAAAAATAAAAAGAGAAAAAGAGAGAGAGAGAAATTTTTGTGCACTGCAATGCGTCGTCGTCCAACATGGAGGGCCGAAAAGGGAAAAAAGTTGGTTGGTAGGTGGAAATGGTGCGCGTTGCCAGTGTCGTAAAGATAAAACGCAGCTGGTGTGCTTTTGCGAGTGAGTGAACTAGGGTAAAAGAAAGAGACAAAGGAGCAAAGAGAAAAAGAGAAAGAGAGAGAGAGAGAGAGAGAGAGAAAGAATAAGGGTGGGAATGAAATGGAATAGAATAAGAAGACGCGTACGATACTTTAACTTTTGCCAGATCGTATAATATCGTTGGCCAATCGATTGCATCTCTTCTACACCCTCCTCCCTCAACCTCAACCCCCACCCCTAATACCATACTTTTATATTATTACGAAACTTATCGGTTAACTCCATAAAATTGAACGTTACGTTTATGAATAACCGTGATATTCTTCGTGAAAAAAAGAGCAAATGAGTAAGAGAGAGAGAGAAACAGAGAGAGAGAGAGGGAAGATATTTTCTAAGGATTAGTTAAACGTAGTTTAAAATAAAATTTTAATCCAACCTTGAATTGATTGGCAAATAGATAAGTAGTGACGGATAAAAAGAAAAAGTATCTTAGACATGGTCGGACTTTAATGCACCTTTTCTACTTGCTCTTTTCTCGCAAAAAAGGAATCTTGCTTGCGTGGACAACTAGCTGCAGGCAGTTTCTGCAATTAGCGATTCAAGGGTACCTTAAGCCAGTGTTTCTCAACCTATGACCCGTAATTTAATATTGAAACCGAATTAAATGTTTCAAATTATTTATTTAAAGATTAAGATAATGTTAAATAATATTTTTACAAATTTACAAGATTATATACTATAATGACATAGGGAACATTATTGTTTTATTATAATATAAAAATATATATTAAAATAAAAAATTGTAATTTCAGGTTATCAGATTCTTACAATTTTTATATCATAAATATTTGAACTTGGTGCACTATTAAGAATAAAAGTAAAGTTGAGAAACATTGTTTTAACCATAAGAGAGAAAAACGGGTTCTGCGAACATTTATCCAGTTGTTAATACTTCCTCTTTCGATGTTCAGCTTAAAACGATGTTCGAAGGTTGCTTTTGAACCTTTCGATTCGTGCTAAATCGAACTTTGTTATTTCGAAATTACATCATCTTACAATGTGCTCGCGTTTATGTAAGACTCGATCAAGATACCTCAAAGGAAGTATCTTTGTCCTTTAGTTATCCTTGTATTTTGTATTAATTTTTCTTTCTTTTTTTCTTTTAAATAGAGAATAAATGAAATGAAGGGAAATAAAGTGATACAATCACTGTTTGGATATTATTTTAAATAATAAAAAATATTTGAAATTATTAACACAAATGTTCGAGTTATTGAAATTCGATAGTTGATCGTAATTCAAATTCAATACTAACTATTTTTGTAATAACAAATTATGTATCGATAATTCCAATATTACTAATTTTTGAATAAACAATTACTATATAGTAATTTTTATTTAAATATAAATAACAAATTTTTAACACTGATTATTGACATTGTTAAAATTTGTCAACTTCAAATTTTATCGAAAAATACAAATAATAAATTGTTATTAATTTGTAAAGATATTTATATAACACATACCTATACACACTATAATTAATTGTAATAATAAATTAACATTAATTTTGGGTTAAATTAAAATATGGCCATCCTAAATATTTTCTAACGATTAATAATTTTAGAAACAATTTTTTCTATGTTCGATATAAAAATTACAATGAAAAATTTGATGAATAAAATAAAAGAAATCATAAATGAAGTTTCAAATTGAATGGCGAAATGTAGGAAAAAGCCTTTAGCGAATTTGAGAATACTCGAGAGTCCTTTACAAATCGTGTTTCTAGCCTCCTCGAGATAGAATTCCATCTTGAAAGGCCAAGACACGCGATACGTGTCATGTGCATTCACGCAAAGCACGAAAGCAACAAAGATCCATTTGTCAGAGTCGTTTTCTATGACTGCGAGGGCACGAATTTCGTTTTTCGAGATTTCTCGCCTAGCCGAGTAGCTAGAAGTGAAAAATACTCTAAGAGAAAAGCTCTTACACGCAAACACACACATATATATATATATATATAAGCAACATTTGAGTCGCGATGTTCGCGAATATTATCCCATTTTCTTCCATTCGTCTTACGTGCACGAGTTGCGAATTCTAAATCGTAACGTTTACGACGTGACAAAGAAAAGTACAAATTTGTAAGTGATTTTTTTTTCCTGCAGGAAAACAAAAATTGTCTTTATCGATTTAAACCTGCACTGCAAATTTTGTTGCCATATGACCTTTCCACTTTTTTGCGAATTACAATTGATACGAGTATTTGAGAAAATAATTAATTTAATAATAAGGTTTTTTTATTAATAATCATTTTATATTACATATAAAAAAAAATTTCTAATATATATATGAAGGGATATTGAACCGTGTAACATTCCAATAATAAGTCATCTGTATTCATTCTTTTTTATATGCGCACATACCAATGTTATTATTTGTAACTCGAATTATGATGAAATATGGAAACGTCTGATATCAAAATTTTGTTATCAAATTTTAATCTGAAATATTAAATTTCAATTTTGATATTAATCGTATAATTTGATTGTTTTGTTTTCCTAAGCAAAATATAATAATAAGAATATTCAGGTAAAGAAGAAGAAGAAAAAAGAAACGAAAAAAGAGAGAACAGATAAAATATTAGTATCAAAAATTCTATAAATAATTC